ACCTGCTCTAACCTTGCTCCTGTCCCAGACCCTTCCCCTATCCCTGATTTCCCATGTAGACCTGTCCCTTCCTTTCCTGCTCTCATATAGCTGAGTTTATTTCCAACATTAGTCTGTTTGCACCTGTTCTCACTGTCTCTTTGCTAGCGGATTTTCTTATTTTTCCTTCTATCCTGAAAATGGAGGTGATATGTTCCTCTGAAACGTCGATTAACACTACATCTACACAGTGCCACATCCCAGAAGACTGCTTTCTTAAAAAAAAAGCTATCCCTATAACAGGCCATGGAGGCCCATAGGATTGTGAGATGTAGAGGCAATCACATTTTCTAGACAGGCGGCTCACAGATGGAGGTGAAGTTGTCAGCCTTACATGCTGGCCGCCCTTTACACCCAGGAAGATTCTGGTACCCATTTCTGTTAGAGGCTGAGTCAACCCTAAGGCCACAGTGCAGCTGGAAGGATTAGGTCAATTGAAAAAGCAAGTGACCTATTGGGAATGAAACCTGCAACCTTTCAGCTTGCACTGTGGTGCCCTAACCAACTACACTGCCACATTCCCCTGCAGTGCACTCAACTGAACTATTTATCTTTCTCTTCATAGTCATTTTCTTTTTCCTGAAGTTTCATTTTTATATTTCCCTTTCCAAATCAAAGGATACTATTGGGCCTTCCATCTGCAGCCACTCGCCTCACTTGCCCCATGTTCCCTCACCATCATGTGCCAGTTTTAACCGGTCAGCAGATTATCTTTACAGTTTGGATCACTCAGGGTGAAACTGATCAGCTGGATGAAGTGATAGATGCATGAAATAATTCTCAGGTATACAGGGCAAAACATTAACTGAACATGAAGTGATTGCAGAGAAAGAGAATGGCACACAACACAGAATATTAATGTCACTGTACGTATTAATGCAAGTATGCATGCACAATATGGTGTCCTGGAAGGACGTGTATAAAGAGAGTGGTTCTAACAGAGCAGAACAGAAGAATGCATTGGAATATAACAGAACAGAATATATTAGATGGCATGGTGCTAAATTCCAGGAATATTTAGCATCCTTATCCAGCATCAAGTTAAAAATTTGGAATGGAATTCAGTGTAATGATTGGCTGGATTCTCAGCACCCTGTTCCCTCCAAGGACTCGTATGAATACCAACTGCCATCTGACAAGTACAATTTATATATGACTTGAGGTTCTCACAGAAGTGGTTATGAAGGGCACTGCCTTCTGCCATATGACGCTATGTAGTCCATTGAAAGTCAAAAGACGTTTTGGAGGAACATGTCGCCTTCATGTTCACTATTGAAGAATAAGATGAACAAGAATGCAACGTGAAAGCCGGTAGCAAGCAGAGCATGTTGGGCTCTTACTACATCTCTTTTCTCTGCCCAGTCTTCATCAGATTCAACCTTAATTTTGGACTTTAGTGTTGTATTTAACCAAAACTCGTACAACATAATAATACTGTCCTCTTCTAATAGTTGCACTTAAAACTTTTGGAACTGTGCATTTCTTTGTAGGTATTCTCATTGTTACACATTTGCAGGTAGTTCAATTCTGCTCTGCACCAAAAATGATTCCTACCAGCCTTTAATACACCATACATTTGTGTGCTGTGGGCGTTATCTGTTACTTTGTGTCAGTGATAATGTGATCAGTGACAGAGGTTTCCATCTTGATATCAGATCCTTTCTTGGTGAAAATTTTTCATAAATCATTGTGTTTAGAAAACTTGATTCTGAGGCCATGTGCTCTTTCGTGGACAGAAAGGGGGAGAAGCAGGCAGATTTTGTTAACAAATTAAATCATTCTGGTGTTGACAACCATTTGGCCATTTTGCATACTACAATGCAAAGCAAAAGCAGGTAGCTAAAAATTTGAGACTTGCACATGGCTGCTATGCATGATACGAGTGTAATGGGTGCATGTAGTGTTGGCAGTGTTGTGAAATATCTCAGACAGGGAAGAAAAGAGGCATAGATACTATGGAAATGAGTGTTGTTTGTGAAATTTTTTAATTATATTATTATTATATTATATAAATTATATTATATTATTAGTGAAACATGCTTCCCTATTGAAGAAAGTCATCTTCTGGGATCTGGCGCTCAGAACCCAGAAGACGACTTTCTTCATAGTCATCACCGTGAAAACCTCAAAACTTACATGCTTCCCTATTCTTTACCACTTAGACATGTGACAATACAGTGCTTCAGTTTTAATTGTTGACATGGTGTAAATGGGGAGTGAAGAGCCCTTTTTGTCAAAACATGCCACACACACATAACCTGGTTAGTATTTAAAAATTTTACATTGTGATCTTGTATTCAGCTCCTTACTAGCCCCACTCCTTCAGTTTGTATTCTTTTCATTTAATCTCATTTATCTCGGCATGAAATGTCCCGTTAGTAGTTTTCTTCAATTTAATGTTCAGATTTGTTGTCTGCCAAAGAAATACGGAAAGGGATTTCACTGTGTTAAGATCTGATAAATGTGTTTCAGTAATATTGTTTTGTATGTGTAGGAAACAGAGATCGAATCTTCTTAAATTGGATTCGTTCTGACAACTCTCTGATGCCACAGAACCACCAGATCCATGAAGGTGTGCTTTACATCAACAACGTCCAGCCTTCAGATGCAGGAGAATACTCTTGTCTTGGTATTGGACCAACTGGCACTGTGCTCTTTACTGCCACGGCCCGTCTCGTAGTCATTGGTGAGCTAGATTCACTTACTCATGATTATTTCTGCTGTTATGTGAAGTATTGTAGTTCCATTAGCATTACACATATCTTGCCTGTATGTTAATAGGAAGGAGTGAATTTAGAAACCCATGGGAGACAGTGGTCTATGGAGGATTCATCTCGAATGATATGAGAAATGAAAAGTAATTTTCTTTATGTCATGTTATTGCAAAAGGAAATTTATGTAACCAGGACTGGCATCAGTGCATTAGTGGTTAGGGGACTGGGTTGCATCAAGTCATGCATTGTATGCTCACTACTGCTGTCTGGTCACAGAGTAAGATGCAACAGCAGCAGTAGTATACAGTTTATGGTTGGAATTGGCACAAAGTGCTCTTCCTTTGGGCAATCGAGAATTATTCATGCACTAAGCATTCTTGTAGGCAAGAAATCTTCTTATGAGTAGTTTACTTGAGTCAGTAGAGAGTTTTCCTTTTTAGGATATTAATTTCTGATACATGAATATTTGTCATTTTTATGTCAAATGGTGTGATAGTTGAAGAAAAGCTGTATGAACTAAAGCACAAGAAGATGTGGTAATTTAAGAATAATGTCAGTGGATTCACAAACTTTATGTTTTGACTCAAATATGCATGCATCTTTTTATTTTAAATCTGTTGTGTATTGTTGTGTATGTTTTATTGATAGAGGTGTACTGCTTTGATATCGTTTATTAATAATATCATAAGAACCTATTCTTAAAAATCAGTAATTATTTTATTTTCTTGCTCACAGAAGGCGACATGTGTTCCTTAAATGAACGAGGTAAAGGAGCATAAACTAATTTGCTGTTGTGGTCGCACCTGTCTTTTATGAAGTAAACATGAACACTTACTGGGCTGTGACTTGATTAATTCTGAATAACTTAAATATTGAGTTACATTTTACAGGCTAAAACTACTAGAGATGTCATTTTTTATCAAATTGAATGAGGTTGTTATGCTTGGAACCACAGAAAAATTAAGTTCTTCTTGTCCTGCCAGTGAAATCATTCATGGTCTTTCTGAATCACAGACTGCTGATTAAATTCTGCCAGTGCCTAAGGCAGGAGCAGGAGGGGGAAAATACAGTATGTGACAGTTTTAAAGGAAATAAAGTACTGGGACGATTTGTGCAAGTTTTGAGTTTGGGAAGTTGAATGCAAGGTGTAATTATCTTCTATGTAATTCTAGATAACTGTCTTCTAGGATGTGGTGCTGTCTGGTCTGTTACATACTTACTAAATTTTGGAGGAACCTGCTATCTACATCTTCAGGGTAGAAGTGCTTCTTCTCTGAAATTTAGTCAGTATCTAACAGACTGCATCGTACTATATTCCAGAAGATGACGGTCTTCTTAGTCACTGATTTGAGAACTTCAGATCTCAGACTTCATATAGCATAGTTGGCTTCCATTTCAGCATCAGGTCCATCTGGCTTCTTATGACAGTGAAAAAAGTTGTAAAATTTCAGTCTTTATATAGGAGTTCCTAATGATCCTGTATCTCTGGTTTAATGAAGTTGGTATGGATTCTGTCTCTCAGCCTTTGAGCATGTTCAGAGTGAATTCTGTAGCTATACATCCTTAGTAGACATACCCATTTCGAAAAGTTTACACTGTGATAACCAGGACAATGCAGTAGCACATTACACTGTTACAGAAATTTGAATTTAATCATTTTGTAACTTGATGAAGTTGTTTCATTGTTGTGTCATTGTAGTTGCGTGAAAGGGAGGGGAGGACACTGTTTGTATGTACCTGAATGATTTCATGTTCATTTGCATTAGCGTGATGATAGTGAGATGTGGCATCCTGCAGCACTTAAAGTACTTTGCTATGATTCATAAAGTGAAACCAGAAAACTTTAGGCATGTTAAGGGAATTTATTGGAATGTCTCTCCCTTTGGTGTCCCTCATGGCATCCAACACTCTCATGTATATCAGCAGCAACATTACAGGAGCGAAGTGATACTATCAAAATGTGATATTGTCTCCAATGATTGTTTTTATAGCTGGAAATAGTAGGTTTACTCATGGCATAATTAAATTGAGCATCCCCACTGACTACATTATTTGTATCTGTAGAATAATTAATCATTCCAGCCCCAGTATTTGGTTTTCTTTGATGCACATTTTGTATGTTTGTGGCACAGTTACTGTATATATTTTCCACTTTGCACATATAAGATTTCTGTTCCTGTTGTGCTTTTCTTTCACACAAGCAGACAAAATTTCAAGAGTTAGAGGTAAGACAATGTGCTGTTTGTTTCTTTGTGTTTGTGAGAGAACCGGGAGATTTGAGCAATGTAAATGTTATATTTTTATCACTGTGGTTTATTATTCAATGACAGGAAAAACAGGATGTGTGAAGTTATGGAGTTCAGGTTCCATTCTTTTAATTCTTTTAATATTACCTTTGCCATACAATCTGTAATTTTTTGGATGGGCTGTGAATAATGTTTCATACAGCAGAAGTGTGGTATTACATAAAATTTTAAATTTGCAAGTTTCAGATTGTCATTCGAGTTCCATAACTAACTGAACACTAATTTGTTTTTCTATGTAATGTAATTGAATTAAATTTTATGAAGATATAATATTAGGTCTGGCATGGATGATAAGTATATTACCAGTTGTGCAACCAAACTTCTTTTTCTAAATGCTGGATTACTGAAAATATTGTTCTTCCACTTATCAGCAAGACATATGAACCACATGAAACATCCTCTGACATTCATTTTGTGGCCTAATAAAAATTCTTTCAGTGGCCCCGACTTGTTATCTTTCTGTTATTATTGACTGTAATGCTGAATGCCATTTTGAATGATTTGATTTTGCATTTATCAATTAAAACTCGGTCAGTGTTCGAGAAGGAGAGAAGGATGCATTATTAATTCTCGCAGTTCCAGTCTCCAAGGTCTCATATTTCTGCAATTGTTTTTGGATGTTAAGTATTCAAGGAAATGTGTTTTCCACACTTTGATGAATGTTTTGTACTTGAGTTTTAAACAGTGGCAGGTTATAAAGGATAGTACTGATTTTAATGACGCTGTTAATTGCAACAGAAATAATGCATAATGCAATTGATTGATCTAATCAGTCTGTTCTTTCACTTTCCTGATTTTGTGAAGAAAGATAGGCATGTGATATCATCTCACTTTCCACCTTTCTACTTTTCAAACTGACTAAGATTTTCTTATGAAATTTGGTATGAATGCCAGTCCAGCCTAGTACTTGTGATTTCCTTCCATCAATAGTAAAAGGATGAGTCAGAAAATATTTTCAGTTAATCTCTTTTGTTAAATAATACACTGAGAATGTATGATGGCATATCTTTCTGATGTAGATTCTGTCCTTTACATTGCATTGAGTTGCGCAGTCAACAAGCTTCTGTAGACCCCCAGAAAAAAGAAGTTTTTCATTGAGTGACAGCACCCATGTGCTGCTTCCTTCACTTTGTCACTGGCAAAGTGGCAGCCTGACAAAGAGTCTTTGTGGACCAAACAGGTGACAAGTCAGACTATACAGAGGTTGCTTCTGCACCTCAAAGCTCAGTTGGTGGAGACTTTGAGCTGTGTGTGTGGGTGGACATTATCATGTATTGTTGTGACAACTTTCAATAATAGTCTTTGGTATGTGGTTCGAGTAGCTGGTTCCAGCTGGTCCTGAAGCATTTCGCTCTTTAGTGTTGTGCCCCTCTCTTGGTAGTGTTCGAAAATTGGGCCTGGTACATTCCAAAAAGCTGTCATCATCACTTTCCTTGCCAGTGGTTGAAACTCTTTGTCTTGTGATGTCATATGTTTCCATTCCATGAATGTGTGAGGGGTAGGCCTTCTTGGCCCTTGCACTGCGACCTACAGTGGTCTATTGTGCTTTTTCCATTCCATACTCTGGCGTTTGCTTTCTGGAGGAGAATGGTGAATCCACATTTCGTCCATAGTGACAATGCTTCTCTAAAAAGTGTCACCATCATTACGACAGCAGTTCAATAGACTTCGGCAGATTGTCAAACATTTGTTTGACAATCTGCCCTCCTGTGAGTTGTTTTGTAATCCATCTTGCACTAACTTTATCTATGAGCAGAACCGCGACTGATGCACCACTTCATTGTCACAGACCCGTTCAGTCACTGTTTTTCTCTGCAGTGGGTGTGGATGGGCATCCTGATTGCTCCTTATCAGTGACACTTATGCAATTGTTTCTGAACATGGTTTTCCATTTTTACACATTTTGCTGCAGTAAAGCACTGTTTCCATGTTGTTCTGAAAGTCTGAGATGGATTTCTGCCTCTGGTACACTTTCAGCCCACATAAATCTTATCATTACACATTGCAACTTCTTGGTCAAGGATGAAAATATTTCACAATCATGTAGGGCGTTTGTGCTTTTACCAATGCACAATATGAGCAGTGCAGCCAAGACAGTGAGATTTGAAATAAGTCATTGCTGGAAGTTTCTTACTCACCAATGTATATATGACATAGCCCCTGTGGGAACATCCCACATACTATCACGCTATTTCTACAGCGCTCACCATCCAGCTCACTTTTCATCATCATGCGTGCTAACCAATCACATTGCTTCCAACGCTCGCATTTATACAGCACTTGCTGTCTAGCCTCATCCAGATTATTACATGCGCTAGCCAATCAGCGCTCTGCAAATTTTGCTCCTCCATCACACATTGTATAAAAGGCGGAGCACATTGCTCGCCAGAGTCAGTGTCAGACGGTCAGTCAGAGTCAGCACTGACAGACAGTCACTGTCACTCTCAGTGACCACACCAGCCAGCAGTGACCACACTTCCTACAGAGCGATCGGTTTACGGAGTCATTGGCACTTCGCTGCATCAGGGACGTCTGCTTCGGCTCTTCAGTGGTCATGCCCAACTCACTGGGCAACTGGCTGCCTCGGCTCGCCGGCGGTCATGCCCAACTCACTGGGCAACTGGCGCAGCTGCCGCCACTCCAACACCGCGCTCTGCAACCAGACTTCTTCCAGCAGTTTCCGTCAACTTCTGACAACTGCCGCACTGCAGCCAGACAGCTAACTCTGCCGCAACATTAGTCAACACACTGCAGCCAGCATCTATTTCTACCGGCGTATGTAGCCCTACTTCACCGGCCAAGCATCCCAGCCAAACGGCCCTTTTCAGGGCCTACAAAGTTTCTGAAGTGGTTTGTCTATTGGAGTATCGACAAACTCCCACACACCCATGGACACATATGATAGGATGATATTTGGGTTCAAAAGTTGTCTGTCCTAATAGGTCTGCAAAAGTGTGTCTGGAGAAAATTCGTTTGTGAAATATAAAACTATGGTGACTGCACAGATTCCACATTTGGCTCTGAATTTCATGTTATTATCTAATGAACCTTTTGGGTTAGTGGCATGATATTTTTTATGGATCTAGATTATAAATCAGCTTACTAATTTTGCATGAGATGTGCCTCTATGTTTTAAAAATTGTGGACACTGAAACAGCATGAAACACTGATGCTAAATCATGGAGCTTTCATGTCCTCTTGGTACCAGCAATTGCACACAGAAATTCATAGTTGTTTAATTATTACTCTAAGATTCATAGGTTAGCCTAGTAATGTAGATTAAAGTACAGGAAGCAAAGTGGGCATCCCCAGAAATTGTTTCCTGAAATCTAATAAATATTTGGACATCAGGATTACTGGTTATTTATGACAAAGTGAATCAAAGATGTGAAGAACTCACTGGTAAAGCACTTATCATTTGCAATCTTTTGTGTTGGAAGTGAGAACCTAGTTTTATATTCGTTGTCATCCAGTATTGTTCCTGTATTGCCTTATTTGTGGAATTTTCCCCCATGTGTTGTTCGTCCTCTGGCTCAATATTTTCAAATGCTTGTGGTGTCCTATCAGTGCTCATTGTAGCCCATAATCTGGTAATTGGGTGGTCATTGGTCTTTTTGTAAGATATGAATAATTCATAAAATTGCTTACATGATTCTTTTCTTAACCTGAAACTTTCAGTTTCCATTCGAAACCGGCGGGACATTTGAATGATCGTTACATATGTTTTGCTGGCTACATGTTCAAAATTACAAACTTTGTTAGGAAAAATTGCCAGGCCTTTATATGACAGTATATAATTTTTTTCATTGATTTCATTTTCTAACCACATTTCCATTCAGCAGAGATTAATATTATACACTAATTTCACATAGCTCCACCACGAATACAGCTAAACCCAACACGACAGGTGGTTCGACCTGGTGATGATGCCTTCATCCATTGTACTGCATCTGGTGATCAGCCTATTAACATCCAGTGGAGTGCTCTAGGTCGAGACCTGCCACCATCTGTGTCTATATCACAAGGTCTCTTACGGGTAATGTATATCTACTTAAATACTCCATGTGTAATAAATAGTACATTACTGGGGCAGGAATGAGGAAGGCATCAACTCTGAAGATCTCTGGCATTGTACAGGGAATATTTTTAGTAATAAGATACATTCACAGCTTTGCGCTTCACCTCTGTTGGAGCATCATTGCCTGCAAAGCTCACGTGATTTTTGATGATGGCTCAGAATGCTTGATGGCCGATAATGTTTGGAATGAAGATAATAATTAAATTGTATACCTCTACACAGTATTATGTTATAGTATTATAGGCAGTGTGGTTCATTCATGAGAGTTTGTTTATGATTTGTGAGCAGTAGGCAGTAGTTATCAGCACCTTGAGCCATTTGTTCCTAACATCTATGTATCCACAGTCAGTCAGTAATGCAACAATTATTTATTCACAATTTAACATTTAACACAACATGTTTCGGTCATAGATGGCCATCTTCAGGTGTTATTTTTAAGTGGACTGCAACGTGTGATTTTAGCGCACATCAGAACAGTGTAACAGTTGGATGCATTAAAACACTTGAAGATGGCCATCTATGG